AGGTGCTAATCTAGCCTCTGCCTTAGGCTATCCAGCAAAAGCCTCCCTGCAGGGCTTGGGCGGGGCAGGTCCCACGGGATCAACAGGGCGGGGCTAGCAGTTATGGCTGCTCTCAGACGCCCCGCTTCTCAGTGTCTCGGCAATTGCTGCGAGCCCCTCCAAGAGAAAGCTGCCCTGGAGTTCCGACCGATGCCAGACAGTCCCGCTTCTCCCGCATGAGTCTGGGTCCCCAGAGACTCGCCCAGAACTGGAGCTCAGAGCCTGAGACTCCCTTCTGATTGAAAACGACAACGCCCTCAGTCGCCAGCCCACTCCACATGCACCTCCGCACCTCAGTATTTTACTTCCGCACTGCGCCTCCTCTGAGTCTCGGTATGCTTTTCTCTTTCCTTCTAGTTGTAGAATTTCCACTCAGCCAGCCTTCCTGTGGTTCTGGATGATGTCCATTCCGTCTTTTAGTTGTATTTTTGAAGTGGTTGTTTGAGGCAGCAAACTCTGGTGTTTATCTATTCCGCCATCTTGGTTTCTCTCAACAATAAATATTTTTTAAAAATTATTCCTAGATATTTAATACTTTTATTTTAATTTATTGATTTTTAGAGAGTGAGAAGGAGACAGAAACAGAGACATGGATTTTTTTGTTGTTCTGCTTATCTATGCATTCATTGCTTGTTTCTTATATGTGCCCTGACCAGGGATTGAATCCTCAACCTTGGTGTAATTGGACAATGTTCTAACCCCATGGTCGGCAAACTGCAGCTCGCAAGCCACATGTGGCTCTTTGGCCCCTTGAGTGTGGCTCTTCCTAAGCCTTAGGAGTACCCTAATTAAGTTAATACCAATGTACCTGCCTATATAGTTTAAGTTTAAAAAATTTGGCTCTCAAAAGAAATTTCAATCATTGTACTGTTGATATTTGGCTCTGTTGACTAATAAGTTTGCTGACCACTGCTCTAACCAACAAAGCTATCTGGCCAGGGTGGTGTTTTATAATTTTTGATGCTGTTGTAAATGGAATAGTTTTCTTAATATCTTCTTCTGATCATTATTTTAGTATATAGAATTCTGAACAGATTTCTGCATATTGATTCTGTGTCCTACAACTTTACTGAAGTCATTTATTAGTTCTAACTGGGGCCCAGTGCACGAATTTGTGCACCTTGAAAGGAACTGTGGGCCGCGAGGCTGCGGTGGGCACAGGGGTGGGTCTCAGTCCATCCTCCGTGCCCCCGCCCAGCCCCTCCCTCAGCAGCCCCTGGTCCCCTGCCCGCCGGCAGCCCCACTCCCACTACCACCTCTCCCACGTACTGACTCGCACCCTCTGACAGCACAGAGCAATTGGGGCCGGCACCAGCAGCGGGTGTGAGGGCCAGCGCCATCAGCTGGTGGGAGTGGCGGCTGCTGCCCCAATCGCCCCTCAAGAGCAGGGGGAGGTGGAGAAGCCCTCAGGGGC